TTCACCGGGACCACCGATGGAAATTCGGTCGGTCATTATGCCATTATCGTTGCGAACATATGCAAACATTGTGGAAACAATTTCGCAAGAAAACATCAGTCAAGTTCGACCACTCGTCGGATATTTTTTAGATAACTTTAGTTTTAACAAAACCATGTAAATTACTATAAGATACGATATGTCTAACAGTGTACCATAACGTGTATGTAGCACATACGAGTATCCCATGATGGGTTGTTTAAGCGATACTATAGACTAATTCTGTTTCAATGAGTATCTTTTCCACAAAATTTTTTACTTTTGCAACCTTCAGCTATTCTCCGATTGAGTTTTCTCACTAATTATAAATAAATTAAATTTAAAGCAACAAATACTTGTAACAGATGCAAAGCAAATTTTCTATATTAATTTTATTTGCTATTTGCCAATAATGAAGGTTTTCTAGATCGGAGTATTCGTTATGACTATGAAACTTTATCTTTCTACAACAATAGATCGCTAAACGGACAATTTATCGTGGACGGTTGCCATAGGTAAATAGTGGTGGTTGTCAGATAATTTAGAATAGAGATCATTCGTGCGTAATTTAAAATAACTTAACAAATGTTAACAAATGATATGTTAAAAACTAACGAAAATAATTTAATTAACATGTACGTTATAAGTGTAACGATCCATTGCGCAAAAAAATAATAATAAATAAATAAATAAAATAAACTACGATCCATTGCGCAAAAAAATAATAATAAATAAATAAATAAAATAAACTTCCGTGACCAAATCAGGATACTATAGTTAGTTGTGTTATAGTGTTAATTTGGTTTATTTATATATATATATATATATATATATATATATATATATATATATATATATATATATATATATATATATATATTTTATCACATTATATCATCATATGACTAACAAGTACACATATGTACGTGCATAATACATATACAGTAATGATATAAACTTCTGTCTAAGACATTGCGATTAATACTATAGAGATACATAAATTTATTATATTTAACCGTACTTTGATGTATTTAATTTATTTTAAATCTTAATTTTATATTAAAACTATAGATTATTTTTTAACATAAATATTTAACAAAAAATATAGTTATAATAAATAATACATGATATTACAGTATAATTAGAAAAAACTTAAATATTATATAAAACCATATGATTTTTAAATTTTAAAATATACAATTTATACGGTACATATGTAAAATACAAATTTTTATACGGTTTCAAATAAAAAATGGTTAACATTGAATGAAATTGAAAAAAATAATGGTCGGTTTGAAACAAATAATAATATAAAAATTTTAAAATAAAATAAAACCTAATTTCAAAATTGAAAAAAAATAAAAAACAATAAAAAACATACTATTTTTTGTGCCAATTTATTAAACATTTTATGTGTCATCATGCTATTAGATTTATACAACCATATAGTCATATTAAGAAATACCATATTAGTACAGACTCACATGTCGGAACGGGTATTTTGATTTGACCAGTCAAATCGTCAATGTTGCAAAGTTACGAAGACTTTGGGACTAAATTAATAATGCTGTTTCACAACTGAATTTTTATAAACGTAAATTTTTTAGAATTTTTCATATTTTTAATAATAGGTATTAAAGTTTTATGGAATTAAAGCAGTATTACCTTTCCCGACTTAATTCAAAGTAACGAAGTCTAAAAGGCTGAATGGCAATCAATGCGATAGAGTTATGATTCTTATATATTTAATTTGACTCACATGAAATCATGAATCCTTAACTTTTATTTTCATCTTAGTTGGATATCATCTTAGTATGATATATTATATACATGATAATAATAATAATTTACCGATCAAATATCATATATCTTAATTGTGGTAAAGCAAATAAATAATAGTACGTGATGCCTACATCCTAGGAGCATAGGTGCATGGTGCACCTCCACCGTTGGTTCATATGTGTACCCTCACCCACCAAAACGTGAGAACAACTCTTATCTCTATTATTGATGTTTATATTCCACTCTTTGGGCCACCCTCACATCTCAAATCCACCAAAGTTGTTAGGGTTCCAAAATTAGACTAATGATTGACTTCCAAAAGTCAAAATTCTTGTTTCGCTACCTAAAAGTTGCTACAAATTACTTTATTTCTCGATGAAAATTTGGAACCCTGTTCGATTCTATGGTAAATGGTATGCCACAGTGTAATATTGATCGAAAACGTTCAGTATTTTGAAAGAATTCACGTTTTGAAGATCACTAAATTTGACTATTTGGATTTAGATAGGTGATGTGTTGGAATTGGTTTGGTTTGCAACATAAACAAAGATACAACGCACATGCAGGAGGATACTGGATACCCTCTCCGCACCTTCCTTTTGGACTATTCTACAAAAAGTTGTAACATTATCTTAAAAATTAGTAATTTTGATCGATTCAAAAGCATTATATTTATCCGATATTTAGGTCAACCATGATTGAGCTTTATTAACTTGTAACCGATACCAAATATGTAGCACATCCTATGTAATAATATGATTATAAATATTTAATTATTAGTCGAACAACATGCATATTTACTATATGTCATTCACGTAAGTTTTAAATCTTCCAATCACCGTAAATTACTCTTAAAAGTAAATAACATTCAACAATAATCGAACGTCAGAATCGTTGTTATTTCCTGAAGCATCTTCGTCCGACCCCTTCGATTTTAAAAAGACAACTGTTTGACACATGGTTGTTAAAGGTCCCACCAACTTCTGATAAATAAGTAGCGATCGATTACTTACTTACCCACCATTCACAAGAAGAAAAAAAAAATGGGAGTCGCAGGAACATTGGAGTACATATCCGACTTGATGAGCAGTGGTCATAAACAGAAAAAGAAGAAGCAACAGCTACAGACAGTCGATCTGAAGGTCCGAATGGATTGTGATGGTTGTGAGCTTAAGGTCAAGAAAGCTCTCTCTTCTCTTTCTGGTACGTACCCATTTAAGATTACGTATTTCTAGTAATTTTCAGATGTTTAAAATCCTTAGTCGGATCCTAGATGCAATGTCTACCGAATCTTTAATACAAATTTGGTTGTGGTTTGGTGATATACAGGTGTGAAGAAGGTTGAAATAAACAGGAAACAACAGAAGGTGACAGTGAGTGGCTATGTAGAAGCAAACAAGGTACTGAAAAAGGCCAAGTCAACTGGTAAAAAATCAGAGATTTGGCCATATGTGCCCTACAATCTTGTGGCACAGCCCTACGCTGCTCAAGTATATGACAAGAAAGCACCTCCTGGTTATGTCAGAAAGGTAGACACCACTGCTTCAGTTGGTGTTACCAGATACGAAGACCCTTCCTACTCTTACGTCACCTTGTTCAGTGATGATAACCCTAATGCATGTTCTGTTATGTAAGTACAGAACTACGGTTGTCAAGACGAGATCGTTTTGAAGCCTTTTTTGAGTAATCCACGTATAACCTACGGTTATGAATGTATGATGGGGTTGTTGGGGTTTGAGAACCGTATAAGGCCGGTGGATGTATGTATTAAGGAACCTCTAGTAATTAACATGCTCTCTTGCCAAAAGTATTTCTTTTTATATTGTAGTACTAAATAAAATGTTCTTTCTAACAATCTGATGTTACATATATCTATTAGATAACTTAATATTAATGTGGAGATCGGTTTTGGTTTAATGGTGTTATTTGGTTGAAATAAAGACTAAAAACTGGCTTTTAGTAGAACAATTATCTTACTTCTTATCAATGGTAAATAGTCAAGCACTTTAACATCGACCATGTGATCATGTATCATTTTTTGCTGTTCACTACAAAAAATGAAGGTAATATTGGCAACATTTGTGGCTCGAAAAGATACCAAGAATGGCTGTTAAAGGTATTACCGGCGACAAGGAGCCGCTATTAAGTCGCCACTAATAATCCGTCGCTAAAGTCCTTTAGTCGGCGGTAATTCGTATCGCCGCTAATAGCCATAGTCCACTGTTAGAAAACTAGGGTAATAGCTACAGCATAATTCATAGGTATTTAGTAGGTTTAAGGTGATAACTACAGATTTGTTATGGAAAATGGTCTGTAACATAAATGTCCGTGAGAAATTTATACCAACATATTTGCTACAGACTATCTACGGGATAGCTACGACTTATTCCGTAGGTATAATACCTACAAATTAGCTTTGGACACGAATTGCTACAGAATGCATGCAGATTGCCGACGAGTGTGAAGTTTGAGTAAAATTGACTATTTTCCTATAGAATTATCTGGGGGACTATGAGGTTGATTTCCAGACATATTTATCATCCTTATAACCATTTCCGTTTGTTCTTTCATATGTCGTTGTTGTTCCATGCTAGAAACTTGCATACACAACCTATCAACCTAAAAAATTGTAACACAATGCAATACTTAAACAATAATAGCAATGTACTATAGTTTATTATAACAATGCATTTTAGTTTAAAATTATAGCAATACACTTAACTTTTAAACCATAATAGCAACGCATATTTATTTATTATCAATTTAATCAATATTATCAACAAATTACATAACTTTTAACCATAATAGCAACATACTTTTGGTTATTATCAATTTAATCAATATCACCAAACTACCTAACTTTTTACCATAATAGCAACATATATTTATTTCTTATCAATTTAATCACTATTATCAACAAACTACATAACTTTTAACCATAATAGCAATGTACTTTTGTTTATTATCAATTTAATCAACATTATCAACAAGCTACCTAACTTTTAGCAATAATAGCAATGTACTTTTGTTTATTATCAATTTAATCAATATTATCAACAAACTACCAAACTTTTTAACCTTTATAACAATGTACTTTTTTTTTATCAATTTAATCAATATTATCAACATACCTCTTGTTGCGTGTTGTCTAACTAGGTGGACTGGGAAAATGGTGTCCTTGAAATGAAAAAACATATATCTCATGCTCCTATCCCAGAGGTAGCACCTTTATTCTTTCCTTTTCTTCTAAGGTGGCTTTCCTCCCATACATCTACATCATCCTTATCATTTGCAGGATCTTCACATATTTGTTGACCAACCCCTGCAGATATGCCTCCTACAAATTACCAAACAACATCATTGTCATATATAAAAAAACGAGACAATCAATATACATAAATGCTAAAGATAAATTACTTGTGCTTCTTTGGGTATCTATCAATATTCAGAATATTTCTTCTTTGACTTAACAATATCACACGTCTTCATGAAAACATCATAACGTTTGGGTGGTTTACCCATCAACTTTTCCTATATAAAATTCAAAGTACAATTAATATAGTTAGTGTTATAACAAAATAAAAATAATAAAATTCATAATTGTGATACTTACTAAGTTTCTACGGTGTTGGTCAATTCCTATACTACCTGTAGTGTGCCTTGTTGTCGACCCATTAGAATATGCGGTGTTGTGGTTCTACTGAGGGATTTTTGAATTCTTTTGCCACTTATCTATGGACCAATTATGTTAAAAGAAAAAAATATATAAGTATAATAATATAATAAGAAATCATAAACTCAAAATAATAATAATAATGTATCACATCCATTACGTCACACAAATGTTGCCACACGCTCTCCGATACGTGTTCAGGTTGGTAGTTAGGCATCCCAACATAGTAGCTATAAAACTTTGGGGAGGAGGGGTTCCTATCTATTCGTGGCATGTTGTCAGATTGTGTCCTGATACCTTGCATCCTATCTCTATATCTACCCTTGAGGACACACTTGAATGCATCAAATATGTTCTCATTCTCTTGTGAATGCCACATGTACTTGGTCTGTAAAATCTAAAAGTAAATTTAAAAATATAAACTAAAAATAAATGAGTATACGATACAATTATAAGTATTTAATATATTACCCTGAAAAGCGAAAACATCTGTGTAAGAGCCTTATTTGGAATATCATTGAACTGGGCCCACGAATGATCCAAATTCTCCCAAAAGATATGAATACACATGTTGTGAATATTTTGATCCCCAAACCTACAGTATTGAAAAACTATATAAGTATACTTATAACATCAAAAAATTAAATTTTAAATGATGAAAACGCTAACTTTTCCCCTTCTCGACTGATGAGGGGCAATTAAGAGGTGTGAAAATCACTCGCATTTGAAATGTGGCCTCTTGAAATACCTCTAGAGGCGGAGCCATGCTGCGTTAATGGCATGTTCGATGCCAACGGTGTGTATGGGGTCTGTGGTGACTGAAAGGTTGCCTCTGCATCTGCACCCTCAAAAAAATAGTCATCAAATCCATCATTACCATCTGTCCTCAAAAATATTTGTGGGGACTGGGATCTATAATCTGTCTATGGGAGCTAAGGTATATAATCCTCTATGAGAGTTGAGGCTTATGACCTGTCTCTCAAGCCCGGCGACGAAGAATCCCGACCAAGTCTTCTAGAGGATTAGCCATTCCGTTTTGCTGACTAATAGTACCATGACTATTGAAGCCTACAACTTCTGTCACTATCGGCATATTATAACGTGGCTCTTCGGTAGAATTATGGGATCCCCCATGCTTCACACTACCAGAAAAAGAGTTGTTAGTGTGGCCTCTATCCTTGCGTCCATTACCCGACATGTTGCATTTAAGAGAACAAGAATGGTCAGATATATAGTATAAGATTGATAAGTCATGACAACAGAAATGCTTAAAAGAACAAGATGTCCAAACCAGAATCATTATAAAAACAACATGTAATTTTAAGGTTTAAAAATAAGACAATGTTCTTAATATTAACAAATACATTTCTCTTATCATCAACAAAAGATAATGCTCCTAACACCCATCCTCATCATCTCCATCTTCAAATTCTTCTTCTAAATAATACAACCTGTTTTCATCATCTTTATTTTCAAAATCTTCCACTTCTTCATATTCCTCCCCAATTCTCGCATTCTCATCATCAGATACTTTCTCATACGTATTTGTAGTTGAGCCTAGGCACAGTCGTTCCGCATAAGTTACAGTAAGGGGTGACTCAAACTATTCTTCATCCTGGAAGATTTCATCTGCTTCCTTTTCAGCTTCGCTAACTTCAAATACCCCTTTTGGTTTTGTATTGATAATCGCCCACTTATCTTTCATCTCCCTTGTCATTGAAAGGTATGGTGTATAAAACACTTGTTCTGCTTGTGTTGCCAAACAAAAAAGGTCGCAAGTTTGAGTCAAGAGTTGGGTTTGGCATCAATCAACTTTCTTTTGTTGACTATTACACTGTCTTTGTTATCAAACCAAATACAATTAAACTGTACAACAGTCGAGGCTCTACTGTTGTAATACTTAATTTCTAAGATCTCTTGCACTATGTCATAGCAGTCCGACTCTTGTTTCACATTATACGTCTCCCTTCAAACATATACTCCAAATTTATTCATCGCACGACCCATATTGTATTGTTGAGTGTGGAACTTATAACCATTTACAAAATACCCATTATCGTGATGAGCATGTCTCGATGGTTTACTAGCTATAACTTCTAAATGTCTATCACTTCCATCGGGTGTCTTATACATTACCTACATTGAAAACATACACATTATGTTGGTTAATGATGCATTAATAATAATCAATACGATTGGACTATTTCTACTTACTTTATCCTCAAACCATTCATCAAAGTATTTATCTCTTAAATTTGAAACTAATTCATTTGGATTCATTTTCATGACCAGTTCATCATGTTAGGGTCAAAAGTTTTACTTAGATGTGGAGTGTAGTCTTACCTTCTTATATGTGTAAATGGGGTTAGTCTTTCCTATAATTAGGAAGGGAGTGACTCCCATTATGTAAGAGACCCACTTGGAGAGTTAGTTTAGTGAAAGAAAAACATAACCCACTTGTACTCTTACTATTCTAATAGAGCTTAAATGTAATTATTTACTCCTTTTGTTCTTGGTTCTTGTATGATTCACTTGATCTTATCAATTCTGCCCATCTCATCATAATTAGGATCACTAGAATTGGTATTAGAGCAGGTGTTCTTGATGCTCTCAAGAATTGATCCATGATGACTACATGATTTGAGTGAATCTTGATTGTTGTGGGTTCTTGATTTTTGAGGAAGTTTGTGTTTTAGAAATCGAATTTTCCCTTGATTTGATCCATACTTCTATTTTCTCTCTCTAGAATACCTGTTTGTATCACTCTCTCTTTCTCTCTCTCTAGAAAATTTTCAAGTTCTTGTGATCATGGTATATTTAGCTTATGATCTTGGGTTGTGACGATTGGAGATGTGAAATACATGGTTAACAAGAACCAATTTTATGGATTATTGTTGAAAGACGGGTTGATTTCATGGCATACATTTGTTTCTTATGGAGGATTGAAATATAATCATGGAAGATTGATATTTCAACCACTTTCAAAAACTGGATGTTTGCTTGAAATCACCATGAATATGTTATCTTCGTGTGAAAATCAAAAGAAAGGAAAAGAAATAGAATTATCTAAAAAGGAACATGTTTCTCTTATTGAAGACCGAAAGGATCTTCATGTTCTTAAGTTTGTTGAATTTCAAGAAATGGGAATTTAATGTGATTTTGATGAAGATGTGAAAGTTTTTCATTCAACTGGAGTTCAAACTGATGAATGCGTGCATTCTTGTGATTCGTTTAAAGTAATGGTGCCTTATCGAAAGCCTTTAATCCAAGAAGTTCAAATGTATCAAACTCCAAAATATTTAATTAAAACATGCAAAGTTGAATTTGTTAAGAATGAAGTTGTTCTTGAATTCAAATCTATTAGCAAGATCCATGAAGATGAAAAGGAAGAAAAATAAGAAGAAGATCAAAAGCAAGAACAAATGGGTTTCTTCACAAGAATCTTCAAATGTTGTTGTGAAGACAAAATCTATGAAACAAATTTAGGTTCCAAAGCAATAATGTCCAAGTGTTGCAATGAATTTGAATTCAAAACCCAAAAATGTTGATGCTAGATTGTTGAAGAACATGAAGAACGAGTTGTACAACACGCATAGTGGGTGATATAATGTGAAGATTGGTGATTTTCTTACTCCAACAAAAGAACCAAGATCATCAATGATTGATTCATATGTTGCAAACAGAAAAAGAATCGTCAAGAAGATTTATCACATTCTCAAATGGATTCTAAAACGTTCTTGATTTTTGATGATCTGATGAAGATCGATGCAGGTTTTATCGAAATTCAAATTTAATTTCGATTTGTGGATTTCGTTTTTCATTTTTGATCATTTTGATTCATGGGATCTATTTCGTTTCAAACCCCATTGTTGATCCAATTATTTTTTTGTCTAGATCAATCCAAAAATCAAAATCATATTCTTACAATTTTTTTTTTTAATTTTGAAATCATTTTTTTTTGTTTTTGCTAATATTTTGAAATTATCACTCTTCATTCACTTGTTTGTTGAGCCCAACTTTGTTAATTCAAATACTATTCATCTATTAAGAACATTTTGAAATCAATTTTTTTATTCCTCATTTGATCCAATTCGAAGGCCAATGTTAAAACAAATCCGTTTATGCATTCTTAAAGTCAAAATTACAATTTTAAACATACGGGGTTGATGAATCAAAATCGAAAGTCTTTTGCTAACAAGTCGAATGATTTAAGATATTGAAGGATGTTCATTATTTGACTGGAAATTTTGACTCGTGATGATTTGGGGATGAAGACATTGAAAGTCAAATTAGAAATTGAGAGTCGAATCAGACATTGAGGATCGAATAGGACATCTGGATAGTGAAGGTCACTGAATGCACCCGTGGTCTTTTCTTGAGTTTAGATGTCAAATGGATTTTGTTATGGTTCATGTTTTGAACAGTGTCATGGAATCAAAAATGATTTGGGCTAATAGTTGAGTGGAATTCGACTGATGGAAATCTTGGATATTGAATGTCTTGGGGATGAAAAACTTTCACATCGTTGGGTCAAAACTGGTTTCAAGGTGCTCCTAGTTCGATGTATGGCTTATTAGTACGATGTGTTGTTGTTAGATCGAACCAACCAAAATTAGTAATTGGAAATACGTTTGAATTAAAAGCAGTAAATGGACTCAAATGCCTTGAAATTGAACATAGATTAAAAAACAAACTGGGGACGAAGTTAGATGGAACGTTAGGGTCAATCCCGATTACTATTCACTCATTCGCATCTATGATGTAGATTGGGTTTGGAGGCTAAATTGGTCATTCACATTGAGTGGTCATTTGGGTTCGAATGCTTTCACAGTCTCGTTTTAAGGGTAGAGATTGAAGGTTCATGATGGGAAATTTGTTTGGATGTAAAATTAATTTCGATGTGCATATTGGACGATTTCGATGTATTGTTTGGAATTCGACTTTGAACGGGAAAATTCTTGAAAGCGAACAAGCAAGGCTTAGGGTCGAACTCTTGTTTAACTGGTAATATGAATTCAATGTGTGATGATTCATTCCTTCGTTGCTACTAAGAATTGTAGAAGAAACAAAACATTTTCAATTTGCACAACTAGACTGTTAAAGAAGTGGCAGAAAAGAGCCAATTTCGATATGGAGTAAAAATTTGTAAAGAATGCAAAATTTTCATTTTAAATCCTTGAAGTTTTAAAGAATTGACGGAAATTACCCAAATTCGACATTGGGGTGATTTTCTAAGAAATAGAAGATTTTTCAAGGTCAGTCCCTGTAGTTTTTGCGAATGAACACTTTATGCCCAGTTTTGCATTTGGGGTAAAGTTTCGTATTGGAAGCTGTTTTTGGTGCAACGGTTCCTTGAAAAATTTTGATATTGTTAGTTTATACCCAAATTTTAAAAACTCTTGTAACTTTCACCCAAAAGTCAAAAAGTTTCACAAAAATTGTAATTTTTTCATGAATTTTTGTGATTGATTTTTGTGCGAGTTTTTCGAGGTTTCATTTTTGCACACATCGAGAGGGAGATTCGTCAAGTTTATTTCTCGAGCACTTCTTGTCCTTTCTAGGTTTTATAATTAGTTGTTAATTATAAAAAGAGGGAGAATGAGGAAATGGTATTCGAAGCCTTCGGGTATTCATTAATGATTTAAAGACCAGTATTACTTCATGGGGAGTTGGCTTTGATCGCGCTAGTTCGCTCGGAAATTGAAGCCGACACATGCAATCCTAACTTTAAGGAGGAGAATGTTAGGGTGAAAAGTTCTCCTTAGATGTGGAGTGTAGGCTTACCATCTTGTATGTGTAAATAAGTTGAGTCTTTCCTATAATTAGGAAGTGAGTGAATCCCATTATGTAAGAGATGCATTTGGAGAGTTAGTTTAGTGAGAGAAAAACATAACCCACTTGTACTCTTACTATTATAATAGAGCTTAAACATGGTTATTTACTCGTTATGTTTTGATTCTTGTGTGATTCACTTGATCTTATTAATTCCGCACATGTTATCATAATTAGGATCACTACAAATTAAACTCAATGATGTAAGGGTTAACTTCTTTACAGTCATAGCTTGTCATTTTCCACTTTTTTCATCTAATATTCTTGATGGTA